CGCCCCGGGGCCGGGCTGGGACCCCGCGGGCCGCCCCACTGCTTCCCTCCGGGCGGCGGTGGCCGCGGGGCTTTGGGGACCGATATTCCGGTTGTACAGGGGGGCGGGGCGGAACCTTTCTCCCCCGCCTGCTGTCGCTTCCCCCCGGGCCCAGGTGTCGCCGGACCGGGAGTGGAGGCTTTATTACAAACATGGACCCTGCGGGCCCTGAGCCTGGGGAGCGGTCCTCCGGGCTGGAGGCTCCGGGACTCGCCGAAGACCGGCTCTTCCTGGTTAAAGGTGGGGTGTGGTGAGCTGCGGGCGTCGGGGCGAGCTCACCCCGGCTCTGCCCGCGCTGCAGCGGGCACTCCCACTGCCACCCGCCCTGGGGGACCTCCGCCTGGGTTTGTCCCTGAGGTTATGGGGTGCAGTGACCCCGGGGAGGTGGCGGGGGGCGGGGGGAACAGGAGCTGTTCCTGGTGCTGCATCCCCCATGCCCTTGCAGTTTCTCTGTGCCCTCCTTTTTCTTTTTTAATTCTGTAGAACTAACATTTTCTCCTTTTCATTACAATTATTGGGGTGACATTGGATACTAAAATTACATATTTCAGTTTACATTTCTAATAATACATGACCCGTATATTGCATTTTGTGCTCCCCCTCCCTGCTTCTCTTGGTAACCACCATTCTGTTGTCTGTGTCTGAGTTTTTGTTTGTCTTGTTTGTTCATTTGTGCTTTCAGTTTTATGTCCCACATATGGATGAAATCATATGGTCCTTGACTTTTCTGCCTGACTTACTGCGCTTAGCACGAGGTTCTCAAGTTGGGTTTGTCCCCTAAAGCGTCCCTGCGCCCATTCCCTGCACTTGGAGATGACATGTCAGTGACCTCGGAGGTCATGAAGTCAGGCAGGTTTCACAGCCCCTGCCATTTACCTTTGGCAAGAGCTGCTTAACCATTGTTTCTGGAATTTCAAAAGTGACTTTGAATGTAATGTCATTAGCAGCGGAAATTTACCTGTGCACATCCTTTTAACCTCTGGTTTCTTCCCTCCTTTCTTTCATCTCTCTCCCCATCCTCCACGCCTACCCCCAAACTCTTGGCAGGCGGACTTTTCCTAGGTACTGTTGCTGCTGCGGGAATGCTAGCTGGATTCGTTACAACGTTATCTTTGGCTAAAAAGAGAAGTCCTGAGTGGTTCAATAAGGTTTGTGACACTGAAATCCATTCATAGCATTGTTATTGTTTACAAGTAAATGGCAGCTCTATTGCATAGGAAAAATAAAAAATAAGATAAAATAATGCCTTTACAAGTAAACCTATGTACACTTCATAGTTTCAAGAAGTGCACAAATTAATCAACAGTATTTTCATGTAAAAGGAGGTACTTAAATGTGTGCTTCCTTCACTTTTAGCAGAACAAGATTTTGAAAACTCATCCAGTACATTTTCTGTTCACAACATGACTTTTGTCTAAATCTAGGTAATTCACTGTCAATTGTGAGAGGCCCCAATGTTTTATGTATCACTAAGAAAGAAAAAGTGATGTCAGTTAAACTCTTGACATAATACTGATTGCAAGAGGCATTTCTATCTCAGAGATGTTAAGATGTTGAAATAAAGTGCATCTTAGCATTGATGGAAAACATGTCATCTCCTTGAACTGAGAGATCATATGTGCTTGTGCACTGCTGCAGCCCTCCTCTCTAGAAAAGCGCCTGGCACACAGTAGGTGCTCCGGAAGTTTTGGTTGAATGACTATAACATGCTTACGGAAGAAAATCCTTACTCCAAGAGCAAGATTGAGCAATCACTGTCGTGGTACTGTATAGCTCATTGACCTAGGTGATGAGAAATTTTCTTCACATTTGCTTGTAGTTACTTGTTCTTATGTGTTGCTCTGTGTCTGCCCTCCCCTGTTAACTAGTACTTTTTTGCTTCAACACATGCAACTCGGGCCCTTTCATGTGGAGATGAGGGCAGATTGCTTTATCATAGAGAATGGCTAAGGCATATCCACAAAAAGTGTAAGTCAGCAAATACTGAGTATCTGCAGAGTCTAGGCACGTGCCAGGTACACATGCCAACATAAGCATAAGGAATTTTAAATTCAAGTTTCTGAAATAAAATTTAGGCTAAAGCACTTAAACACACTCCAGTTTAATAATATTTGGTTAGTGGCACTGCTTCTGGATGCAAATTCAGGCCAGTTAGAACCTGTGCATTTATGTGGGCTCCGGGGAACCACACTGAGGTTACAGCAACATGAGAAAGGAGGGAGGTGAGAGCAGATTGTTTTATCGTAGAGAATGGCTAAGGCATATCCACAAAAAGTGTAAGTCAGCAAATACTGAGTATCTGCAGAGTCTAGGCACGTGCCAGGTACACATGCCAACATAAGCATAATTCCTGTGTGCTGTCAGTAACACTCACAATCACAAAATACATGTGTAGAAAAGCCTGTATTAAGAAATGGTGTTGAGCAAGATCAAGAAAATCATTTTTAAAAAGAAAAAGACAAATTAAAGAGAATACATTTCCAGGTGGAAGATGAGATGTTACAAATTTGCTATTGTTTATCAGATTAGCTAATTAGCTTGAAAATTAGCTGATGAAAATGCCAATGAATGGGCATTTTCTCTACTTGTTTGGGGATAGGAGAAATCTTGACACAATGTTCTAGGATTTTTCTGGAAGAATCAATAGGCAAAAACAGCAATGGAATTTTTGAAAACAGTAATGAGTATGGTGTACTTTCTGGATATTAAGATTTTTTTTCTATAATTAAATCTGTGATTCTGGCATAAAAATAGATGATAAATTAGTGGTACAAAAATAGCTGGATTAATCAACAGAGTGGGGCAGTTGCTAAGGTTTGGGGAAGTAAACTCCCTTGAGTCATTAGCTCCCATCAAAACCAAAATAAATACCAGATGAACTTAAAAGTTAGTGGTGAAAAGAAGAGATAACTTAAAAATAAAGCTAACAGAAAAGAGAAATGACTGTAACGGTAGGATAGGGGAAGTTTTAGTGAGCTTAAAAGCATCAGAATGCATCTTTGACCAAAAACAAAAACTAAAAAGCAAAATACAAGAGAAGATACAAATAAGAAAACTCTGGGCAAATAACATGAGTATCAATTTAAAAGGCATAAACAGGTGGTTCACAACTTGGGGAAATGTTCATTTTCATGGACATCAGAAAGTAAGTTATAGTTTTATCTAAATTTTTAAAATTTCTTTGGGGGTATTTTTGTGGGTGTTTGCTTTTTTTTTTTTTTACATTAATTTCGAACACTCCCCAAATATTCTTTTTTAAAAAATATATATATTTTATTGATTTTTTACAGAGAAGAAGGGAGAGGGATAGAGAGTTAGAAACATGGATGAGAGAGATCGATCAGTTGCCTCCTGCACGCCTCCCAGTGGGGATGTGCCCGCAACCAAGATACATGCCCCTGACCGGAATCGAACCCGGAACCCCTCAGTCCGCAGTCCGACGCTCTGTCCACTGAGTCAAACCGGTTCGGCCCAAATATTTATTCTTTCTGAACTGAGATTTTCACCCCAACTTTCCTGTCTTCATTGCAGGGAAGCACGGCCACCGCTGCGCTGCCGGAGAGCGGGTCTTCCCTGGCCTTGCGAGCCCTGGGCTGGGGCTCACTGTGTGCATGGTGCGGGGTTGGCGTGATCAGCTTCGCGGTCTGGAAAGCTTTAGGAGTTCACAGTGTAAGTAGCCACGGTCCTTAACTGGTATCTGGAATGTTTATTCTACTTCCTGCGGTCCAGATCTTCCTGATTCTCAAATTTGTATAGTTTGTTCACTGTCTTAGGAAGTGATGACAGAGACGGTGACTACATTCTTATAATGACTAGGGAACTTCTCATTACTAGTAAATGACATAAGTAATTTAAATATTTGAGGGTGGTGAAACTTCAAATGTAATTAAGTAATGACTAATTCATAGCAAAAGTTCATTCTATATAAATTGGTACTATTTGTTCAGTGAATTATTTAACTTGGAACAACTTTCTATGCTGTTTGACATCCTTATATATAAATATTCTTCTAAAATAGTTAAAGCATTGTAAAATTATTATTTAAATTATTAATGCACTTACATATTATGGGAGAAAATCTGAAAAATGTGTGTGTGTGTGTGTGTGTGTGTGTGTGTGTGTAATTTAGACTCCAAGCTGTGGAGCTATACATTCAGAAGGTTGTCTTATTAAACTACCAGTAGGAAGTTCTGTGGACCACGCTGTCTGTGACAGGCGGGAATGAGGGTGGTGTGGAGCAGGTGGCCGCAGTGGAGTTGATGCAAGTAGGTTCTGGATACATTTCAAAGGTAGAGTCAACAAGGATTTGTTACGGATTGAGTGAGAAAGGTGAGAGAAAAAGTGAAGTCAAGGATGCCTCCACGGTTTGTGGCCTGAGCAACTGGAAAATGGATGGGGATCAGTGTGACAGGAGCAGATGTTGTTGGGGGTTAAGTCAGGAGCTCAGTCTGGGACTTGTCAATGTGAGATGTGATAGCCAAGTAGAAAGTCGAGTAAGCAGTTAGATAAAAAGGCTAGAATTCAGGGGAGATGTAAAGGTGAAGACAGAAATTTGAGACTCATCAATCTCAAATAGGCATCTTAAATAGATGGTATTTAAAGCTACAAGAGCAGATGACCTCACTACAGCAGTGCATGCAGAGAGGTCCACGGAAGGAACTCTTGGGCAGGCCCAAGTTTTAAGAGGTTGGGGAATGAGGAAAGTAGCAAATGAGATTTCCCTAGTGAAGAGGTAAGAAAACCAGGAGAATGGTGGCTTGGATGCCAGGTGAAGAAAACCTTTCAGGGGGGTGTATGCTGGGGATAAGTCATGTGGTTGTTCACTCAGTTAGCAGATGGCAGTCATTGATGGGTAAAGCCGGAGTGGGGTGGATCCAAAAGAACATGGAGGAGAGAGATTGGAGGCAGTACATATAAGCAAGTCTTGAGTTTTGCTATAAAGGGAAAGAAAGTGGGGTCATAGAAGGGAGAGTTGGGGTCAAGAGAGTTTGTGTTTATCTTTAAGTTGGGAGAATTAACAGCATGTCTGCACACCGATGGGAGTGATTCCGTTAGTGGGGAACGGGAGGGGAGAATTGCTGGAGTAATAGATTAGTAGTAGTAGTGCTGGCATTATTGAGTTTTTCACATTTGGCTTAATAATAACTAAACATGGGCATCATTGTATTTGTCACTCAAAATATACCAGTAGACAAACAGATGTTGCTTTCCTCCTTGTCTGACTAACCTTTATTTTTAAGGTAACTGTGCTGGCAAATTTTCATAGACCAACAAAATTAGGTTATTTAAATTAGACTATGTGCTTGAGAACTTGGGCTTTATGGGCTAGACCAGTGATGGCGAACCTTTTGAGCTCGGGGTGTCAGCATTTTGAAAAACCCTAACTTAACTCTGGTGCCGTGTCACATATAGAAATTTTTTGATATTTGCAACCATAGTAAAACAAAGACTTATATTTTTGATGTTTATTTTATATATTTAAATGCAATTTAACAAAGAAAAATCAACCAAAAAAATGAGTTCACGTGTCATCTCTGACACACGTGTCATAGGTTCGCCATCACTGGGCTAGACTGCTATTTTAGTGTCTAGAATGTGAACTTCTTTGTCCTGATAAGAGGATTATTGCCTAAATTAAATATTTTGGGGAGAAATACTCGTTTCTGATGGGCACTATTGAATCTAAGGGTACTTGGAATCCTTTTAAAGTGCATCTTAATGTCTTTAACTAAAAAGAGGCTGCAAGGACACACCCTCCCTCCATCCTGGTCATTGGGCATATTGTTTGATTTTTATTACTGAAAAGTCTCAGAAAAGTGAACCACTGGTACTTTGTCAAGGATACATCTTTTGAGAGCAGTAGTGTATATTGATGTGTTCATTCGGAAGACATTTGTGGGCCTACCCTGAGCCAGCCTCTGTGCTAAGACAGGGCTCCCCAATAGACTTATTATGGACAGCTTAGGCTTTAAAACTTTCTACACAAATTCTTACCATATGGCTCTGCCCTGAGGCTTGTGGAGAGCAAAGGGCTGCATTTCAGGTCTGCATTTAGAGAGTTTTGATGAGAACTGTGAGGCTGCTCACAAAAAAAGTCCGTTGATGAACTTTTCTCACTATTTACTGTCTCTTATTGGGAAATACCATCTTTCTATGACAGGAAAACAGTCTCTGCACTCAGTAAATAACTGAGACGAATGCTCTAGATCAGAGTCAGTTTCAGTGTCAAATACTTGTTGGTTGCTGCTTCAGTTGTATTAAATCTCCACTGTAAACCCAGTTTTTATAAAAGGGGTGCCATCTAATGGCTGACCCAGAGCAGCTTACATTCCCTATTTTAAGTCACAGCTACATCTGCTGGCCTGAAAGGGAACATGACAATACTTAAAGTGAAGACCTTCAGCATCTTAGAAATCTTTTTTGTTTATTCATCACTTCCTATAGAATATGTGTAATATATCAAATATTTATATAAATTTGTATTTTACACAGTGACATATCATTTAATCAGAGGTTTCAGAAAAGGAGGACTAGTAGAAACTACTTTGTCAGCAGACTGAAGCAGATAAGTGCACCCAGATTTAAGATGGGACCCTCCCTCCACCCCACTGAAAAATATACTTTGGACCTATCTTTCTTAAAACAAAAATGGCTTTTTTTTAAAATGGTAAAAACATGTATTCAATATTTTTTAAAAAGAATTAATGTAGAAAAGTACAAGAAAGGAAACAATTACCAGAAATCTCACTGAGTTGTAATCATCTGTTATAATAGAAACATTATTTCAGACCTTCTTCTATAGGCACATTCACATAATCGTACATACATGTTGTTTTACTGTACTACTCTGGAACCTTTTTTCACTGATTAGTCATAGGAATTCTCTGCACAGTAAACTTACATAAATCTCCATCACTTTTAATGGCTACATGGCACCATATTATGTATTATAATTTACTTAATCAGTCTGTTGCCAACAGCAGTTAGATTGTACTTTTTCACAATTAAACACCATAGTGAACCCCTCTATAGGCATATATCTCTTTTGTATTTTTCTTGGTCAAGAAATTTGTCCTAAAGACGGAAGTTGTTATTGTTGAATCAGAGTGCATGCTTTTGATACAATTTAGAAGATTTCAACAGTGCATACAAGTTTCCTGGCACCCTTGCCACTGGTGGCATCCATGACTCTGAAATGTTTGCTAACCTGATAATCATCTTTCTTCCTTGACTGCATCCCTCCGAAGGCCCTGCCGCTGTTAAGGCTTTAATGGAAATGGCCTGTGACTGGGGCCTTGCCCACCCTTCAGCCCCAGACTTGCCCCTTTATCTGCTGAGGTAGGTTGCTTCTTTCTAAAAGCCCAGGTCTCTTGTTCTTTAAAAAACAAAAAGTAAAACGTACATAGTTTAAATATTTCTCTAAAAAACTGTCATTTAACTTTCCTATTCTAAGAAGATCCTTTAAGACAAGTAACACCAGACCTTTCCTCTAGGACAGTAGTAGATGCATGCTAATACATTTATTTTCCCCAGCGCTCCTTCAGTAGCTGCTCCTAGGCAGACTTTTATGTTAATATTTAGGCTCACTTACTAATTACTTTATGACTAACTTGAGGATTTTGCTAATTATAGTCAAATCTCTTTCTTGTGACTTTGCTAATTTCAGTTTTCCCAACATTCTGATGTATCTCCTGCTAGATACATTTATTCTTACATTATTTCAGATGAAGCAGCATTGTAGAGTAAATACTAGAACGCCACATGTAAAATGAAACTATGGAGAAGCTTAAAAGTGTTTAGCTTCTAATATCTAAGAAGGAAACGGACTTCATGCTGTACACTTTCCATCAGTTTAGGTCAAAGACCAAAAGCTAATCTGAGTCTCCTGCAGATTGTTTAGTGGCAGCCACTCCTGAGTCATCTGCAGAATCTGAAAGGCAGTGGAACATTTCCCTCCACGTTCCTGCCTAATCTCATTTCAGTGCTTCCAAAGATCCGACCAGCCCCTGCCCCCAGGAAGCAAGCTCCAATGTCTTATTCCGATTACGGACGTCAGCAGACCAGCCTTGCTTCCTCCTCCTAATGGAACTTACTGGAAGGCCCAGACACAGTCATCATGATCTCACAGAGATAGTTCCAGCTGTCAAGCTCTCGGCCTTCAAACAGCGTAAGCGCCAGGAGAATTTCCCTGCAGCCGCTTTCCATGAATGGGGAGTGGCACTGCGCATCAGTTAAACTCAGGGCCAGGGGACAGGAACGTCTCTGCGACCCTGCTTCCTGTTCCCCTGCCGCTCTAATGGGCTCGGCGTCCGGTGGTGAGAGCGCTCCCAGGGGCAGTATGGTGACACGGAGACCGCATCACAGGGACTCTGCTCAGTTTAAAGAGGGAGACAATGACCAATGTACATTTTTTTCCTGGGGGACCGCGGAGACACCAGCTGTTTTGGCCTGTTGCCAAGATAGCTCTTTAAAAACCCACCAGTTTCCTTTTATAAGTAAAATAGGGCCCCAGGCATTTGATAGAGTGAGAATGTGCAACAATTACTAAGAGAGATAAGCTTTGCTAAGAAAGCCTTCCTGTTCTCTCACTTCAAGAATGTTCACAGCCTGTTCCACCTGAGGAGAGCGAGCCTCCTCCTCACTTGCATTTTCTCTTTCTTTGTCCCTGTTCTCACACTGAGCATGGAAAATGGGATGCAGGTCTCTAACTAAGGCATCCTGAATGCCCGCAGCCTCTGCTTTCCCCTTAAGCATTATTCAAAAAGTACCTGTTGCCAAACCGGTTTGGCTCAGTGGATAGAGCATCGGCCTGCGCACTGAAAAGTCCCAGGTTCGATTCCGGTCAAGGGCATGTACCTGGGTTGCGGGCACATCCCCAGTAGGAGATGTGCAGGAGGCAGCTGATCGATGTCGATGTTTCTAACTATCTCTCTCCCTTCTTCTCTGTAAAAAATCAATAAAATATATATTTTTTAAAAAAGGTACCTGTTACTGGTTAGTCACTTTCGAGTATCAAAAACTATGAAAAAGTTTCATGTATGTTGATATACTCCCATATTTTTATTCATTTACCCTGTATCAGAAAATGGAAGTATTCTCTCAGATTGAATTTTACTGGCTGAAATATTTCTAAATTTAAGAAGAAGGTTTTAAAATGTGCAGTGTATCTTTCCACAGTGTAAATTACGCTGTGTCTTGCTGACTCAGTTATATCAGTTATTGTTCGCTTCTGGTGCTAACAGACTCTGAGTGTTTACAGTTCTTCATTATTTTGGTCATTTTTCATGACTCTAGTTTGGCTCTTGTTTTCCACTTCGCAGTATCGCACTTACTTCTGAAGCGCTGCTGCTTTCCTTTGCGCACAATATGCTGGGATTCCTGCCTTTACTCTTCTGTCTTCTTCTTCGTGGGTCCCGTCCACTCTGGTGGTTTCGTCCACGTGCAGACAACTGCCAGCCTCCTGCCCAGACTCCTGAGCTCCTGGCTCGGGGGCCTGCTTAAGTGGACACTGATGCTTGGGTGTCCTCCCAGCATCACGTGTGTCCCACCGACTGTCACTTCCTCCCAGCCTACTCCTGGGTCACACTCAGTGCACAGCGGTGTCATCTACAGGCTGCCTACAGAG